CCCTACGCTTCGCACCCGACCCAGCGCGGGCCCGGGCAGCCGCCTCTTGAGGGCTTTGAGCCTGAACGAGACCCCCACCAGCCTCGGCAGTCGGAACCGGGACCAGCTTCCTATGAACGGCAAGGGGTAAGGCCAGGGTCTGATCAGTCACCAGCACCCCACCAAGACTCCTCCCAAGCACAGAACTAAAAAGGAGGTGTCGGCCAGACGGATGCACCAGGACAAGCAACGTATCAACCACAGACCCCAGTTCAGCACCTCTGTCATCCACGGGGAGCAGAATAAGCCTCTTACAAGCTACAGGTCCCAGAAATAAACATCAGCCAGAGATACCCCCTGGGACAAGCCTCTCATCAGGCACAGGAGGCAAGGCAAAGCATGTATCAGTCATATGCACCAGGATTAGACCCTTACCAAGCACAGGAACCAGAAAGTGCCAGTCAGACCCATGCGGTAGGACAAGATCCCTATCAAGCCTATGAACATGGGCATGGCCCCTATCAGCCACACGAACCAGGTTACGGTCTTTATCAGCCAGGATTCAGTCCGTATGATGACCAGATACCCGACCCCAAATCCCGAATGCTGGCAATTCAGAATGCAAAAGCCTATTTACTGAAGAGCAGCACAACATCTGGCCTGAACTTGTAAGTCTGAAAACGGGGCACAATTGAAAAGGATAGGAAGTATGAGTGGAGAGAAAAGTAGTGTTGGTAAAAGGGCAAAGGGTTATGTTAAGAAGGGGAGGGATACCAGGAAAGTATGTATAGAACGGGAGAATACGTTATAAATGCAATAGTTCATCGCTATGTGATACTTGTGTGTGTCCAACGTCTTTCAGAATTCCTAAGGGAATTCATAGATTTCAAAGGGAAATCGATTTGATTAAGAGCAAGTTTAAATTCAGCTTCAGCTCCTGAGGCAGGTGCGGTGTATAGCGAAAATGGAATATGGGACTACTCCTAAGTATATTATAACCAGGCTGGTTGCAAGTCTAATTTCCCATAATGCTGCATGATCCCCTTTTATCTAACTATTGCAACTATTTCCCCAAAGCTCCAGGTGATTAGCTTCTACTTTTGATATTAAAAAACATAATATTCTAAGAATTTTGTATAGTAAGCCAATAATATTTACATTTATATGACAGATATGATCATCTTGCTAATATGCTAACAAAGATCCTGGATGAACAGCCCACAAATGCAGTAGACATAATTGAGAATATCAGCAAGGATGTGAAGTGGGCTCAGTTTCAGAAAAAAATGGACACTCTTCGAGATGAACATGAGATTCTTCCAACATTTGAAGCTGCAGAACAGCGTAAAGCTTTGTTCCTCAAGGCAAACGGAGAAGGAGATGAAGAACTAGAAGAAGACATAGTGAGTTATTATCAAAGAAAAACAGTTATCATATATACCAGGGAATAGGTGGAGGATGGCAGGAAGGGAAAGGAGGAAGGCAGAAAGTTGTGGTCTCCTTCACAGTATGTATATATATATATATATATATCTATCTCATGATCATATAAATAATTGCAGCCACAGTACCATGTACCCCCTTCATAGCTGAGTGGCTCCTATGTCTAGTTGTGAAGAAGAAAACCCATCTGGTTACTTAGTTGAGAGTTTTTCTTGTAGTAAATCTTATATCCTGAGCCTTTAAAATCATAGATGTTCTAGAGATGATGGATCAGAAAGTAAAGTTTACAGTATCTCCCATATGCCATTTCAGCATGGAATATTGCATCCAGATTTCTTTCTTTTATCTAAAAGTGACATTTTTTTTACCTAAAGTGACCATAATTCTAGATACCAGTTTGAGAATATTGTGCACAGCTGCTACTGTAAAATAGCGAATGGAGATTTTTGTAACCCTTCCAGCTCTAGCTGTGCTTCCAGTCTGTCCTTCTCCAACTAAAAAAAACAGTATGGTTATAATGAAGAACGATTAGAATTGAAAAGTCACTTCTTAAAACAGGGTTTTCCAGTATTCATCTGCTTATATGCAGCAGCATTTGTACCCCAAGAAAAATTAAGAGAAGTCTTAAAATAACCAAGGGAAACTAATCACCAAGATGTTGATTTTCCTATGAAGTTACCAGTATATATTCAAATGAATTGCCATTGCAGAATACAAATACTAACAGAAGAGAGTCTTTCCTCTTTTCCATGGCCTGTTATTTTACAGTAACAGAATACGATGGTAAAAATGGAAAAAAGTTGGGTATTCTGAATTTTTCATATGCCTGTCTATCTTGCTTTGATATAAGAAATGTGGAAGGGCCAAAGAAATTCCATGTGAAACTAGCACTACTTCTTCCAAATTCCCTACCCTACAACTTCTAATATTTTTTCTGTGTGATATAATCACCTACCCCCATGAAATGAGGAGGGTGATAAAGCAAATGGAAATACTTCACGAAATAATTATTGGCCTATTTCTGCTTCCACTGAAGCCAGCTGGAGCCTTAGTATGGACTTCGGTAAGAGCAGGGCCCAGTATTTTTAAAAATGTGGGGAACTTTATGCCAAGGTTCTCAAAAGAACAAGATTCACTCCTGCAAAGTGTTGCTGGTCTGGTGTCTAAATATATAAAATGTGTATTATATTTACCCCAAATTAAGGCGTGCCACAAACACAAGGCAGCACACTGACAGTGTTTGCAGGCATCAAGGCCTCTTACACAGCTGACATGCCCTAGCACTGAAGTCCTTTGTAGGACTGTGTGACTTTCCCTATTTTTGCAGTAATTAGGAGTTTGAATTTTGAAATCCTGTATTCTAAAAGCTGCAGTTCATCTGTGTTCTCTTCTTTACCCTTAAAATGGTATTTTTAATTTTTCTAATGATAGTGGAAGATGTACTGAATGAAGGTCTGCAAAGCACTTTGAGAGAATGAGTAGCACAAAAGAAAGTGAAGTATAACGTTCAGTGGGTAACACGTTTAATTTTTCAACTAGATAATTGTACTATTCTTCAGCTCTAACTCCGGATCTTCTTTCCCAGGGAGAGACTCCTCTACCTAATGTGATGGAAACAGCCTTTTATTTTGAACAGGCTGGAATTGGCTTGAGCAAAGATGAATCCTATCACATATTCCTTGCCCTTAAAAAACTAATTAGTGTTCAGCCAATCCAGACCTGTCGCTTCTGGGGCAAAATTTTGGGCCTGGAGATGAACTATATTATAGCTGAAGTACAGTTCCATGAGGGGGAAGAGGAGGAGGAAGCAGAAGAGGAAGACATTATTGAGGAAGGAGGGAAAGGGATGGGTGAAGTTGAAGACGAAGATGAGGAGAAAGAAAAAGAAGACAAACCACCAAAGTCCACCTATGAGCCCCCACCTGTCATCCCAAAGGAAGAAAATGGGACTGGGGCTAATAAATATGTCTACTTTGTCTGTAATGAGCCAGGCAAGCCCTGGGTGAAGTTGCCTCCGGTGACGCCAGCCCAGATTGTCTGTGCCAGGAAAATCAAGAAGTTCTTCACTGGTAGGCTGGATGCCCCTGTTGTGAGCTTTCCTCCTTTCCCTGGAAATGAGGCCAACTACCTGCGTGCACAGATAGCTCGGATCTCGGCAGGAACCCAGATCTCTCCCATTGGATTTTACCAGTTTGCAGAGGAGGAAGGAGACGAAGAAGAGGAGGGGGGCGGAGGAAGAGATACCTGCGAAGAAAACCCTGATTTTCAGCCTCTTTCTGTGGCTGAAATGGTGGATTCTCTCTCCACATGGGTACACCACGTACAGAGCATTCTAGAGCAGGTATGTTCCGGCAGAGCTCACGCCGACCTCGGATACCGTTCACACTGGGGTACTTGTAGGGTTTCAGAATGTAAATGACAGTCCTCACCTGCACTTTTGAGCTATTGACCAGAAATGGTATTGGACTGCAATATTTTTCTACAGAAAATATATTTGATATAATATATAATATATAAATATGTTACACATAGTTACATATATTTTTTATATATATATATATTTAGAGACTTTCTAGGTTTAGTACATTTTTCAATGGTGTGTTCTTGAGATCGAAACCTATCTTTAGATAACAGTATGGTGTTAGGCCTTGATTTTGAAGTCCTTACTTGACAAAAATGTTTTAAATTCTCTTCTCTTGGGTAGGATGCTAACATGCAGATAGCTTATGATCATACCCTAAATGGAACTTATTTGTTTTCTTCTGGTTTGTTTTTTGTTGCTTACTTTCTGCTGTAAAACATGCAAATGAGAAAGGTTAAAGGCTTGTGATACCAGGCTAGCGCTGCAAAGAGGTATTACTAATTTGATGATCATTGCTGGATGACTTGCTGGCCAGTCTACCAATTCAAGAATGACAGTGTAAAATAACAGCAAATGGTAGGAAATAAGGTTTAAAATTATTACCAGCAAAACAATAGTTGTAAAAATAAAATCTACATGCATTAAAATCTTAAGAACATTTTGTTATGTTCTTCTGACTAGTGGCAAAGTAACAAGGCAGACTTTAAGAGGAAAGGGCAAAGCCCGTAAATTAAGCCTCTTAGATTGCAGTAACTGCTAATCTGGCAAGGATATAAACCAAACTGGCAAGGAACTGGAGACTACAGAACAATAAAAAGCTTTTGCCAGAGGTGTAAGGTTATCCTGAAACAGTCAGCAGGGATGAGGGAGGAATGAGGGATATAGGGAACGCTCCGCCAAAAGGATACAATATTCTGCCACCAACACACCAGTTATGGGATATATATTTTTCTTTTCTCCCCCCGCCCCCCCTTAACTGTGTGTGCATGTGCCTGAGCCAATTGGTTTAACTGGCTTGCACGCTTTCAGTGATCGTTATATGTGGTTATTATTTTTCCATATCAATTACAGGGTCGCTGTGTTTGGCTTAATCCTTTTCAAAAATCAGAGGAAGAAGAGGAGGAGGAGAAAGCAGAGGAGCCAGATGAACTACAGCAAGAAATAGGACCACCTCTTCTCACTCCAGTTTCTGAAGATGAAGGTATTCTTCATGGAATGTGAAGGCTTCCGCTAGGAATGTTGGCATTTAGGTAGTAAATATCTGAAGTTAGAGGACTCTGATGCTTCATGGAGCAATATAGTTTGCCCCTGTAGAATAAGGCTTTTACAAAATTGATCAAAAGCAAAATGGTTAACACTATTGACACTGAAACTGAAATAATTTGGTTTACTCGTAAACAATCATGTTGAGAATAAAAGGAAAAAACACCTCAGACTTGTCAGGCTACTGCGAGTTCGAGACAGCTGACGACATATAATACATTCAGCTGGTTTTCCATCACCTTTTTAGGCAAAACCAAGGTGTATGCACGTGTAAATAAATAAATATATATACATACATACATGCATAGATATACAAATAAGAATTTAGACCCTGTAGCATATTGCTGCAGCAAATCATGGGAATATGGGGACCTGAATATTAGATTACATCAACATAAAATTATTTTCCTACTCTCCATTCTTTGATCAAGGTGAAATATAACTACATAATTTATCCATAGGTGATAAAAAGTCCTCAACAAAAGAAACAGCGGTGCGTACCGCTGTATTTCAGGAGCAGGATCGTTTCTGGGTGTGGCTCCATTAGCATTCCTGGGCTATCCACCCGTACCTCCAAACCACCCGTCTGCATAGAGCGCCTACATTTATTGTTTCTGACTTCCGTCCCTTCTAACCCGCAGCTCAACGCAACCATTACTTGAATTCTGTGGATGTCTTGTAGCTCAGCCATAGTATTTTGTAGAGGCTCAAAAGTCAATTTATTCATAGACTCTGTGTGTTTGGCTGCTTCCAGGAATTCAAGACATCCCTGCCTGGACAGCTCAGCTGTCTACAGACCTGATCCCGCAATACGCCGTGGCAGTCCTCCAGTCTAACCGATGGCCCGGGGCATACGCCTTTGCATCTGGCAGGTAGGTGAGCAGCTGTGGACAGGGTTACAGCACAGACTGTATATGCTAAACGCAGATACCTGTCTGATGAAGTCAATGTTGCTTTGTTATTAATTCATTGACTGAATTCTAACTATTCCCGAGACTGATGGAGAAGGCCAGTTAAATGTGCACAGCAACGGTAAGTATGTATTTAAGACCGAAAATGAGTAATCATTGGAAAAGCTAGTATGATGATAATGGCTGTAAACGTCCAGTTAGTATTTGGGCACAGCCCTTGATTTAAAACATCTGCAGCTTTTACGAAACAGCCACAACCTGTGGTTCTAATGTTCATTCGTTTCCACCACACATGGTACAGGCATTACCTCTACCTGCTTTTAAATGGGCCCTGGAGTTGGTGTCAGAAACAGTGCTGGGTTACCCGTGTGAGGTTGGAGTCGTATGGCAACACAGTGCAGTGACAGAGGACAGCCTCCATCATTTTAGCATCTGGGGATTTTTAAGTGGAAGATAATTAATGAACAGTTACAGCAGTTAAAAAGAGGGGTGGTCTTTTAAATACTTCTGTTACCGGATGTCTGCACCACAGTGGCTCTTTGCACCGCAAAGTGAGGAAGCCTGACAATATGTGCACTGACGTTTTGTCAGGGGGAGAGTGTGTGATCTTTCACTTTTCTTTCTCAGGAAATTTGATAACATCTACTTTGGCTGGGGTCACAAATACAGCCCAGAGAACCACGCTCCCGCCCTGCCTCCGCCAGTGCAAGCAGAATACCCCAGCGGGCCTGAAATCACAGAGACACGAGACCCCACCCTGGAAGAGGAACTGGCTTTCCAGGCTGCGAGGGAAGAAGCCTTAGCTGCAGCTGAGGAAGAGGAAGATGAGGAAGATGTTGAGGATGATGAAGAGGAGGATGATGAAGAGGAGGATGATGATTAAAATACGGGGGAAAACATTATTTTAAAAGTTTAAACATGAATAGTATTTTCATAAATTAGTCATTAACTCGTTGACCTTAAATGAAAGGCACTTGGAGCGTGCCCCTTGATTACTGTAGGCTCCCCTCTGCAGCTCCCTTCCTTCCCCTCCTTCCCGCCCCCCGGGCCGCCCCGCGCTCGCGTGAATTCCGCACGGCTTTCGCTGGAAGCCATCAGCCTTTTTTTTTTGGAAGAGCAGACAAATACCGACCCAGCTTTGCGCCAAGGAAGCGCCAGCCACCAACGGCCCACCTCGTCTTTCTAGCCCGCACTGCAACACCTACGTAAATTTTACTTAAACCAAAAAAAATAAACTTAATTACACGACAATGTCACGTTTATGTGTGAAAGCACGCGACTCAACCTCAGTAATCAGCTTACTGAGTTACAGGCCCCACCGCC